AAACTGTATATGTGTAATTATGTAATTGTATATATATATATATATATAAATACCTAATCCCAGTGAATGCTCAATTTTCGGATAGAAAAATAAAACTAAAAATAAAAATAAATAAAGAAATAAAATTTCTTTATAGATATTAATTCGAGAATATTGTGATTAGGTCATTGATTGTCCTGTGACCCTAGTACTTGGATTAAGCCTCTTGTCTAGTGCAATTAAGATAAGTAAATTATGGTAATGTCTTTAAATTTTAAAGTATATTTTAACTTGTTTTTGAGATGGTGGCGAGGTTTAAATAGATTTATTTGCATTTGAGCATGATTAAAAAGGGAAATTGAATTTTTATTATTTTTCTTATTTTCTAGAATTGAGCATGCCCACATGAGATTCTTCGGTTTATTTTTGAAAGTGAGAACGATTGTGAATCGTGGTTTTCTGTAAATCTTGCTTGGTTTTGTCTCCGATATGGTCGTGTTAATCGTGTGGCTGCTAGTGGGAGGTTTATAAACACTAGCACATGTCGACATGTTGGTGATAGAATCGGTTCGCTCATGTTATCCTACTAGTGGGATTATACACTAGTAATCGTGTGCCTGCCAGTGGGAGGTTTATAACACTGGTTATGACTAATAGAGGAGACCCCTATTTAATTTTATTTTGCATTAATGGTTTGCTATTGAGACGCTCTGTTTATGTTTAAACCGCTTGTTTGGCATGCTTTAAATTTTGATCCCGGGCATCCATATTTGCTTACTGAGATATTTTATCCCACAGTTTTTCGTTGTCCACCATTTCAAGTAGTGAGACCCAACGCATGGGAAGCCCGGGGGAGTGACGAGCTAGACGGCTAGGCATTTTTGGATTTAGTTTTGTAGCTAGGTCGCTAGACAACCATGCTAACTTAGGAATTTTTGTGTACAGAACTCGTTTAGTTATGGTAAGGATTGTATAGATGAAGTTATATCTCTGTGTACATTTTGACGAGTAAATATTTAGAAAGGAAAAGAAATTAGATATTTCTTGAATTATTTGAATTAGTAATTATGAACTCAGTAAGTTTCGAGCCTTGTGCATTGTGGGATCCGTTCCCGAGTGCACGACGTTTGTTTCGCTCTTGGTTTGGGGTGTGACAGATTTTGTGGTATCAGAACCTAGGTTTAATTAAGTGCCTAGAATTAGTCTAGAACTTGGCTAGTAAAGGAATGATAGGAATGTGGTGAGGTATGAGAGTGGGGTTGATTAAAGGCGATTGTCTAATTCTTTCTTTAATGTGTGTTGGTTTTTCTTCGTTTGTTATTTTTGTGTTGCTTGGTCCTGGAAGTGGAAACTTGCCGGGAAATTTCTCGTTGGAGCATTTGATTAATAATCGATAAACCTTATATGTGGTTATAGATGGCCCCAAAACGGCATGGGCACCCGAGGGGTGGTCGTAAGGATCAGGGCACTCCTCTGATCCCAGATGCTAGTCCCCCTGCCCAAACTGCCCCGCAGGAGGGAGGGATGAGTAATCCCCAGATAGCCACTTTTGTCCAGGAGCTTATGGCAGAGATAAGACGCCAAGAATCTCCTGCCACAAGTGTGCCACCTCCATCTCCAATGGTTTCCACTCCTATGGCCCCTGCTCCAATTTCCCCTACTCCAATTTCCCCTGTTCCTATTTCTTCTGCTCCTGCGGTGTCTAGCTGGAAGGTTTATACGGAATTCCAGAAGCTGGTGACCAAGAGATTTGGTGGTACTGTAGGTTTTGAGCAGGCAGGATCATGGATCACCGAGGTGGAGCTGGGATTTCGCCTACTGCAGGTTTCTGATGACCTTAAGGTCAATGTAGGCAGTTACATGCTTACTGGGAAGGCATTAACTTGGTGGGAGAGTTATATGAAGCTACACCAAGGAGAGCTTGAATTGAGCACTTGGGATGGTTTTAAGAAGGTGTTCATGTAAGAGTACATATCGGATAGTAAAAGGCGGGAACTGCAAAGGGAATTTGCAGACTTAAAGTAAGGGTCAGGTACTGTTGAGCAGTACAAGGAGGAGTTTGACCGCTATCTGCCTTTTGTGGGTAGCCAAGTTGGCGATGAGCAAGCCAAGGCCGACAAATTTCTGTGGGGCTTGAATTCCGATATTTATTTGGAGGTAAACCAATTTAAACTCGCCACTTATAAAGAGGCTGCAGACAGAGCCATAGATCAGGAGAAGGCTATGGCTAGAGTCAAGTCCTCAGGACAGCCTAGTGTCGAATCATCCCTGGGGAAGAGAAAATTTGATGGGAGCCGTCGCTCCCTTTTTCTTGCACCACCTAAGTCTGAGATCAGCAAGGGTTCTAAAGGGTCGGGAGCCACCAAGACTGTGAGCCAGGCATCAACGGCCCAACGTGCTCGCCCTACTTAGCTTACTTGCCACGTTTGTGGGAAGGTTGCGCACACTCGGGATCAGTGCCATACTGTTACTGAGGCTTGCTTCAAATGTGGCAAGTAGGGACACCGGATTGCAAATTGTCCACTGCTAGACCCCAAAGCTTAGAGTACTCAACCTACCTCTCCGCAGAGTTCTACCAGTCAGGGGGCGCAGAAACAGAGTACCGGGGTTCGGACAAGAGCCCAGCAGGCGAGAGTGCAAGTGATGACTCACAAGGAAGCTGCGGCTACCGACATAATCACGAGTACCTTGCCTATTAACTCTGATTATGCACATGTTTTATTTGATTCGGGTGCATCGCACTCCTTTATTGCTCGATCTTATGCTTTGAAACAAGCTTTGCCTGTTGATACCTCTGATTGTGAACTGCATGTGGACACCCCTTTAGGAGGGGTGATGACTACTAGGGAGGTGTGTAGGACTGTGGATATTTATGTTGATGGTAGACAATTGAGTGCTAGTATGTTTGTTTTAGATATCTCTGATTTTGATATCATTTTGGGGATGGATTGGCTGTCAAAACATTTTGCCTCTATAGACTGTCATCGAAAATGGGTAATTTTTAATATTCCTGGTGAGCCAGAATTTAGTTTTCAAGGTAGTGGTTCTTTTGCTCCACCCATGCTAATATCTGCCTTGCAGGCTTAGAAATATCTTGTAAATGGTTGCCAGGATTTCCTAGTCTCTGTTACTGATGCTAGTAGTGTGACATCGAGACTAGAAGACATACCGATGGTGCGTGAGTTTCCGGATGTATTTCCGGAGGATCTCCCAGATTTACCTCCGGATAGGGAGGTTGAATTTGCTATTGACCTTGTTCCTGGCACCAGACCTATTTCCAAAGCACCATACCGTATGATTGCTGCAGAATTGAAAGAGTTAAAGGTCCAGCTGGAGGAACTCCTTGAGAAAGGGTTTATACGCCCTAGTGTGTCACCTTGGGGAGCTCCAGTGTTGTTCGTCAAGAAGAAGGATGGGAGCATGAGGCTATGTATTGATTACCGGGAATTGAATAAGGTGACTGTGAAGGACCAGTATCCCCTTCCTAGAATTGATGACTTATTTGACCAGCTTAAGGGTGCTCAGGTATTTTCTAAGATTGATCTTCGATCTGGTTACAACCAATTGAAGATTAAATCAGATGATGTGCCAAAGGCTGCCTTCCGCACCCGTTATGGTCATTATGAATTCATAGTCATGCCTTTTGGCTTGACAAATGCCCCTGCCAGATTTATGGATTTGATGAATCAGTTGTTTAGCAAGTACCTAGACCAGTTTGTGGTTGTCTTTATTGATGACATTTTGGTCTATTCTTCTAGCCATGCTTTTCATGAAAAGCACTTAAGGACGGTCCTCGAGACACTGAGAAGTGAGAGGCTATTTGCTAAAATTAAGAAGTGTGAATTTTGGCTAGACAATGTTGCATTCCTAGGTCACGTTGTGACTAAGGATGGAATTTCTGTTGACCCCCAGAAGATTGAGGTCGTGGTTGATTGGAAAAGGCCGAATAGTGTTGCAGAAATTCTTAGTTTTCTGGGATTGGCTGGTTATTACCGCCGATTTGTGGGGGATTTCTCTAGAATTGCTCTACCAATGACTCATCTTATCAAGAAGGACACCAAGTTTGAGTGGACTCCAGAGTGTGAGAAGAGCTTTTTGACCTTGAAGGAAAAGTTGGTCACTACTCCTGTACTTGCACTTCCAATTAATGGGGAAAGATTCACTATATATAGTGATGCCTCTAAAAAGGGTTTGGGATGTGTCTTGATGCAAAAAGATAGGGTTATTGCATATACTTCTCGGCAGCTAAAGCCTTATGAAGAAAATTACCCTACCCACGATCTAGAGTTGGCAGTTGTAATATTTGCACTCAAGATCTGGAGGCATTATCTGTATGGTGAGACTTGTGAAATCTTCACCGATCACAAGAGTCTTAAGTACATATTCACTCAAAAGGAGCTTAATATGAGGCAGAGGCGATGGCTTGAACTTTTAAAGGACTACGACCTGACCATTAGCCACCATCCGGGCAAAGCTAGCAAAGTAGCAGATGCGTTGAGTAAGAAGTCCTCTGGCACTGCCTCTAACATCCTTGCCACTCAGAAAGAGTTACTTGAGGATCTTGTGAAGCTGGATGTGGAGTTGAGAGTGGACAGTACTATGGCTTATCTAGCTGCTCTTAGTGCACAACTAGCATTAATGGATAGAATTAAACTTGGCCAACAAAAAGATCCCTTCTTGCAGAAGATGAAGGAAAAAGTAAGAGCCGGGGAACCCCACATGCAAGAATTCAGAATTTCTGATGATGAGACTCTGGTTTGGTGATAGGTTGTGTGTACCAAGAGATCATGCTTTAAGGTGTGAGATTATGGGAGATGCCCATTATACTAGCTATACAATTCACCCAGGTAGCACCAAGATGTATCGTGATTTATGTAGTACATTTTGGTGGCGGAATATGAAGAGAGAGATAGCTAGGTTTATCTCACAATGCCTGACTTGCCAAAAAGTCAAGGCCGAACACAAGAGACTTCATGGGAAACTACAGCCTTTACCTATTCCCCAGTGGAAGTGGGAGAACATCACCATGGACTTTGTGACAGGCTTACCACAAACCTTAAAGGGTAATGATTCCATTTGGGTCATCGTTGATCGATTGACCAAATCGGCTCACTTCTTATCCTATCAGATTGGCACCTCCATTGAAAAGCTTGCCAATATGTACATGGAGGAGGTAGTCAAGCTACATGGAGTCCCTGTGTCTATTGTGTCAGATAAAAATACCAGATTTTTATCTCATTTCTGGACAAGCTTGCAGCAGGCACTTGGTACTCAATTAAATTTCAGCATGACCTTTCATCCTCAAACTGATGGGCAATCTGAGAGAACTATTCAGATACTTGAGGACATGTTGAGGGCTTGTGTTCTAGATTGGAAGGGTTCGTGGGATCAACACTTATCCATGGCTGAGTTTGCATATAATAACAGTTATCAATCTAGCATCCACATGGCACCGTTTGAGGCTTTGTATGGTCAAAGGTGTAGATCACCTGTTTGTTGGACAGAAGTGGGTGAAAGGAGCATTTTAGGCCCAGAATTGGTGCAGCAATCTTCTTAGATTGTGCAGTTGATCAAGGAACGCCTTCGTGCTGCACAAAGCAGGCAGAAAAGCTATGCGGATAGAAGGAGACGAGACCTTGAGTTTGAAGTTGGTGACCATGTATTTTTGAAGGTGTCACCCACTCGAGGTGTCCTTAGGTTTGGCATCCGGGGAAAATTGAGTCCAAGTTATATTGGACCATATCCTATCTTGGAAAGGATTGGCGAGGTAGCTTATAGATTAGAGTTGCCTGGAAATCTAGCGGGTGTTCATGATGTGTTTCATGTGTCTTTACTTCGGAAATATGTCCCCGACCAGAGCCACATCGTTAATCCCGAACCAATTCAACTCTGAGAGGATCTTACTTATGATGAGCACTCGATTCGCATTTTAGATTTCAAGGAGAGGATAATGCGAAGAAGGACTATTCGTTTTGTTAAGGTCCTTTGCGATAACCATTCAGTTGAAGAAGCTACTTGGGAGTTGGAATCCAAAATGAGACAAGAACATCCGCACCTCTTCCAAGATTGAGGTATGAGTTTAGGGGACTAAACTCCTTTTTAGGAGTGGTGGATGTAATACCCCAAAAATTTCAAGAATATTAAGTTGAGTTTGGGACTTAATGGTGAGGAAACGTTATTAATGGACTTAAGAGTCAAATTTTCAAACTTTAAAGGGGTCAAAAGGTTTTTGGATAAGGCCGGCTGACTCTTTTTTTTTTCTTTCTTTCTTTCTTCCCCCAGCATTTTCGCGTGTCTGCTCTGTTCTTTCTCCCTGCTGCAGCCGAAACAAAAAAAAAGAGAATTAAGCAAGCCGACAGCCATCCTTTGGGAAAAACCGGTAGGAGCTTGAGATTTTCCCTCCTTTCTTGCTCAAGAACCAAGTTTCAACCCTAGGAGTCTCTCTCTCTACCCAGAACTTCCGGATCTGTTGTCTTCTCCCCCACTTCTGCCGCCGGTTTCAACTTGTGTGGGAGTGGAATTTTCGGCTTTTGGGTATGAATCAGCCATCAATTTCATCTTTTCTCACTTGATTTATGTTGGGTTCACTTTAATCTTGTTGTTCTTCCAATTTCTAGCAATCCCGTGGAAGCCTCCCCAATTTCCCACCGGCTCTTCCCCATACCGCCAGCTCCAGCCTTGCTTGCTAAGGTTTTTTGGTAGGTTAGCTCCTCTAATCTCTGCAAATTTTGTTGATTAATGGCTGCTTGTGAGTTAATTGGTTGTATGGGTGTTTGGGTTGTCCAAAAACAATCTGCCGGAGGTGGGGGATGAATTTTGGCAATTTGAGAATGGGTTTTGGTTGATGATTTATGTAGAAAATCCTTAAATTTGGCTGTTGCATGTGTCCGAGAGGAAAAAGAGGAGAATTCTGTGAATTAGTCATTTTTTTGTCAAAGACCGGTTCTCCCAAATTCCTGTCCATGAGTTTGAAAAATTGTATATGTGTAATTATGTAATTGTCTATATATATATATATATAAATACCTAATCCCGGTGAATACTCAATTTTCAGATAGAAAAATAAAACTAAAAATAAAAATAAATAAAGAAATAAAATTTCTTTATAGATATTAATTCGGGAATATTGTGATTAGGTCATTGATCATCCTGTGACCCTAGTACTTGGATTAAGCCTCTGTCTAGTGCAATTAAGGTAAATAAATTATGGTAATGCGCTTAAATTTTAAAGCATATTTTAACTTGTTTTTGAGATGGTGGCGAGGTTTAAATGAATTTATTTGCATTTGAGCATGATTAAAAAGGGAAATTGAACTTTTATTATTTTCCTTATTTTTTAAAATTGAGCATGCCCACATGAGATTCTTCGGTTTATTTTTGAAAGTGAGAACGATTGTGAAGCATGGTTTTCTGTAAATCTTGCTTGGTTTTGTCTCTGATATGGTCGTGTTAATCGTGTGCCCGCTAGTGGGAGGTTTATAAACACTAGCACATGTCGACATGTTAGTGATAGAACCGGTTCGCTCGTGTTATCCTACTAGTGGGATTATACACCAGTAATCGTGTGTCTGTCAGTGGAAGGTTTATAACACTGATCATGACTAATAGAGGAGACCCCTATTTAATTTTATTTTGCATTAACGGTTTGCTATTGAGACACTCTGTTTATGTTTAAACCACTTGTTTGGCATGCTTTAAATTTTGATATCGGGCATCCATATTTGCTTACTGAGATATTTTATCTCACAGTTTTTCTTTGTCCACCATTTCAGGTAGTGAGACCCGACACATGGGAAGCCCGGGGGAGTGACGAGCTAGACGGCTAGGCATTTTTGGATTTAGTTTTGTAGCTAGGCCGCTAGACACCCATGCTGACTTAGGAATTTTTGTGTACAGAACTCGTTTAGTTATAGTGAGGATTGTATAGATGAAGTTATAACTTTGTGTACATTTTGACGAGTAAATATTTAGAAAGGAAAAGAAATTAGATATTGCTTGAATTATCTGAATTAGTAATTATGAACTCAGTGAGTTTCGAGCCTTGTGCATTGTGGGACCCGTTCCCGAGTGCACGACGTCTGTTTCGCTCTTGGTTTGAGGCATGACATCTTTGTCCATAGAAGCTTTTATTTTACCATTCTTCGATGTATAATCATAATCATTGCATTGGAGTAAAGACAGTTTATCAAATTCTTCTCTCAAAATTTTGACCACATTAATTACCTTGTTGTCTCTACTTAGGAAGGCGGATTTCACAAGTTTAAAGGATGAAGTTAGTGGAATACATTCACTTAATAATAATTTCAACAAGATTAATAAATGAACTTTTGTAACAGTTTCCTGTATATATTATTTTTGAACTTTTATCAACATTTTTCATCTTTCTCTTCTTTTTTTTTTTTTTTATTAACTTTAATAGCACAAAATTTGTATGTTAGTATGTCACTATTGTGTGACAAGGTTTATGTGGAAATGGTAAACTATATATAAATGAAAAGAGATTCACCTTTTTTTGTTTTATATGTCAACAAATTAACTTTACAAAAGGGAGTAGGAGCATCCTCAACTTTACAAGAGAAAAAATGTTGTCACTAAATTATATCGTTTATCCCATGTTAAATACAAGAATAATGATTGATACACATTTTAATTCAATACATTGTATAACATGCTCATTAAAAAATTATTTTTTTAATATGAAATTTAAAGCAAATAAACTTAAAGATTTAGTCATACATACAAGATGCAAGAATCAGCTGAATCGACTATATTTATATATATTTTAAAAGTTAAGTTGAGATAAATGGTAAAAATTGTGTTAAATCGATTCTGTACTAATCAATTTTCTAAATTATAAAGTTCCCTTTTTCAAGCGAAGTTCAATTAGGTGTGATTAATTAGGAGATAACTTGTATGTCTAGTGGTTCTCTAAGTGATTTACGTCACAACTCTAAGCATAAATTAGGCCATTTTGATGCCTTGAGCTAGTAAAAATATCTTATCTTCACTAGTTCCAACACCATTTTCCCTTTTTCTTTCTTGGCTCTGAAAATGAGATGGCTTAAGTCTCCAAGTCGGTTCCTCAACCAAAAATTAGTTGTGTTAATGTTTTATACATATCATGTAATCTGACAAGAAAAGAGAGAGAATAATCATGAGAAAATAGATATTTGATTATTTTGCCAAAGGCATATTGCATTTCTTTATTTGTACACATAGTGCAATATGTGTTGATCTGAAGCTATATATTAAGACAACAAAGAGCTATATATATGCTTAAGCCATGTTCGGGGGTGAGGGGGGGTTGTGTATTGGATTAGGTCCACCAAGTGTTTGCCCATCTATATCTATAGTTGATGCGAAGACATGTTGGTAATGCTCCAGCTTCTTTTCATTGTAGCCTATTTCTTGTAAAAAAAGGTGGCTCTCAACCTTATTTTGCAAAGGTGGTTGTGCTTAAGTGCTTAATGCAAGAGCCATCAAGACAGGAAAGAAAACCATTCTTGCAATGGATTGCTTAGCCATGATACCTAAAGGCAACAGGATTTTGTGCAGGGTTTCTAAGGTACATAACTAGAGCTAGTAGCTGGAGAGATAGATGATGTGACGATGTGGGAGTAATTAGCCTGAGAGGACTACTTTATTTATAGTACCATCCATGGTAAAAGAGTAAATGTGATAGTGGGGGTGAGATTGAAGAAGTTTCTAATATAATATGGTTAGGGATACACCATGAAAGAAAATAACTATTAATTAAAAGTATTTTTATTATTTATTGAGATTACAATATTAAATCCTTGAAATCAATCAATTAATAAATTGATTTCTCATGATTTAATCAATTTTCATAGTGATGAGATATTTCTTTCTTCTGTAATTGAATCTTATATTCTTTTTTTGTTATAAATTAAAATGGTTAAATACTCTTTTTAGTCCTCTACTATTGAAAAAAGCCCCTGTTTGGTCCCTATACTGAAAAAATCCCATTTTTTCTTTAAAGTTTAAAATCTGGCCTCTTTTTGGTTCCTCCATTAATTTTTGCTCATATGGCACGTTATCTTAATGGAGACATTGGACGTGGATATTCCACCCTATAAAGGTGCTTACGTGGACATAATAATACCCTTTCATGTAACTCTGTTCGCATAAAAAAGAAAAACCCTAAATTCTTTTTTTTTTTTTTTTCAATTCCCTTTCCAGAAATCATCTTTTTTCTTTCCAAATTCTTCTTTCAAAATTCTTCATTCATAATCAACCGTTTACATATGAGATTGGTTAACACATAATTAAGAATCCATAGGAAGATTTTCATTAATAAACCCTTCTCCTCTGCAAAACAGATTATTCTCTTTACTCTCTTCCCAATATAAGATTCTTAACCCTTTCTTCCTATTGAAACTAGATCATGAATGCACCAAATTATGAAGTTCATAGCAACATAAATCTATCATCTGTAGTTTCAAACCCAAATATCAAACACGATTTGAGTTGCTATAATGAATCCAAAACTTGGGTTCCGCGAGAAACCCAAAAGCAAGGTTCTTCGAGGAACCTAGATCTGGGTTCCTCGCGAAACCCCGAGGAACCCATAATGATGAAGAGCATGGTGAAAGGGATGGTAAAGATGATGAAGAGGATGGTGAAGATAAACGGTGACATGATGATGCTCGAGGATGAAGGTGAGGTGACGACGAGGATAAAAATGTGGAGAAAGAAGAAGATGAAGAAATTAAAGTTAATTATGTTTAAATTCGTTTAATTCATAATTAAAAAGGAAAATTTTTAATTTGTACACGCGATCTAAAATTTTTAGATGAAATGCTTACATGAATTTATAATTTTATCCATATAATTTTCACATCATTTATAATATTAGTTATTTAAAAAATAATTAAGTAATTCCATTAATTAACATGACAGCTTAGCAAAAAATTAATTGAGGGACCAAAAAGGGGTCGAATTTTAAATTTTAAGGACCATAAAAGGGTTTTTTTCTGTACAGGGACCAAAAAGGATATTCAACCTATTAAAATCAATCATATTATAATTTGATCCTTTCTAAAGATAAGTCAATATTTGTATCTTGCTTTGCCTTAGAGCTATTTATCTATTCTCCTTTTGTCAAGTCTATAAATGGGAGGTTTTAGCATATAGTTCTTTCATTACCTTTGAAGGCTTCCACCATTGACAAAAAATTACTCCCACTTACCTTGTTGGGGTTAGCTCAAGTGATAATTAAGGGTGATGACAACTATATTGAAAATATAGATTTAAATTATTATTATTTTTTACTATATCAAATGTATAAAAACTTAAAAACTTAATAACTAATCTAACATAATAATTCTAAAACCTATTACCACAATTGACTCAATTTATACATGGTATAAAATGCTACCTTATATATTAATTAGGGTATGCATTTAACATTTAAAAATATGTTGAATTACTTGAAAATTGAAAAAAAAAAAAAAAAACACATAAGGTGCATTTCATATTAATGCATAAAGAGGGAGGGAATTGATTTTACCTTGTTATGCACTATGATGCATTTAGATTGAGGTTGAAGTGTAAATATGAAAATAAAAGTTTCTAAATTGTGAAATATGTCCTTTGAGTTCCAAAAATATCACAAGGAGAGTTATATAACTTTGGAACTTGGTGGTTATATCTCTTGCATGTTATAACGTTTAGAAGCCAGGGTATCAATTCATCTCTGTCCATAGAAGTTTTTATTTTACCATTCTTCGATATATAATCATAATCATTGCATTGGAGTAAAGAAAGTTTATCAAATTCTTCTCTCAAATTTTCAACCACATTAATTACCTTATTGTCCCTATTTAGGAAGGCGGATTTCACAAGTTTAAAGGACGAAGTTAGTGGAATACATTCACTTAATGACAATTTCAACAAGATTAATAATTGAACTTTTGTAACAGTTTCCTATATATATTATTTTTTAACTTTTATCAACATTTTTCATCTTTCTTTTCTTTTTTTTCTTTTATTAACTTTAATCAACACAAAATTCATATGTTAGTGTGTCACTATTGTGTGACAAGGTTTATGTGGAAATGGTAGACTATATATAGATGAAAAGAGATTCAGCTTTTTTTGTTTTATATGTCAACAAATCAACTTTACAAAAGGGAGTAGGAGTATACTTAACTTTACAAGAGAAAAAATGTTGTCACTAAATTATATCCTTTATCCCATGTTAAATACAAGAATAGTGATTGATACACATTTTAGTTCACTACATTGTATAACATGCTCGTTAAAAAATTATTTTTTTAATATGAAATTTAAAGCAAATAAACTTAAAGATTTAGTCATACATATAGAATGCAAGAATCAACTGAATTGACTATATTTATATTACATTTTAATAGTTAAACTAAGATAAATGTTAAAAATTGTGTTAAGTCGAGTCTGTACTAATCATTTTTCTAAATTATAAAGTTCCTTTTTTCAAGCGAAGTTTAATTAGGTGTGATCAATTAAGAGATAACTTTTATGTCTAGTGGTAATTAGGCCATTTTGATGCCTTGGGCTAGTAAAAATATCTTATCTTCACTAGTTCCACCACTATTTTCCCTTCTTCATTCTTGGCTTTAAACATGAGTTGGCTTATCCGTAGCCAAATGGACTAGATAATTGTGAGCCAAATATTGTAACCCAAGCCTCCAAGTCAGTACCTAAACCAAAAATTAGTTACATTAATGTTTTAAACATCTCATGTAATCTGGTAAGAAAAGAGAGAGAATAATCATGAGAAAATAGATATTTGATTATTTTGCCAAATGCATATTGCATTTCTTTATTCGTACACATAGTGTAATATGTGCTGATCTGAAGCTATATACTAAGACAACAAAGAGCTATATATATGCTTAAGCCATGTTCAGGGGTGGAAGGGGGTTGTGTATTGGATTAGGTCCACTAGGTGTTTGCCTATCTATATCTATAGTTGATCCGAAGACATGCTGATAATGCTCTAGCTTCTTTTCATCGTAGCCTGGTTCTTGTAAAAGAAGGTGGCTCCCAACCTTATTTTTCAAAGGTGGTCATGCCTGAGCGCATAATGCAAGAGCCATCAAGACAGCAAAGAAAACCATTCTTGCAGCAGATTGCTTAGTCATGATCCCTAAAGGCAACAGGATTTCGTACAAGGTTTCTAAGGTACGTAACTAGAGCTATTAGCTAGAAAGATAGATGATGTGATGATGTGGGAATAATTAGCCTGAGAGGACTACTTTATTTATAGTACCATCCATGGTAAGAGAGTAAATGTGATAATGGAGGGTGAGATTGAAGAAGTTTTTAATATAATATGGTAAGGGATACACAATGAAAGAAAACAATTATTAATTAAAAGTATTTTTTTTAATTAATGAGATTACAATATCAAATCCTTGAAATCAATCAATTAATAAATTGATTTCTCATGATTTGATCAATTTTCATAATGATATAATATTTTTTTCTTCTGTAATTGAATCTTATATTCTTTCTTTCTTTTATATTAAAATGGTTAAATACCCTTTTTAAACCTCCACTATTGAAAAAAGCCCCTTTTGGTCCATATACTGAAAAAATCCCCTTTTTTGTCTTTAAAGTTTAAAATCTGGCCCTTTTTTGTTTCCTCCATTAATTTTTGTTGACGTGGCACATTATCTTAATGGAAACATTGGACGTGGATATTCCACCCTATAAAGGTGCCTACATGGACTTAATACTACCCTTCCATGTAACTCTGTTTGCATAAAAAAGAAAAACCCTAAATTCTTTTTTTTTTCTTTTTCAATTTCCTCTCCAGAAATCATCTTCTTTCTTTTGAAATTCTTCATTCATAATCAACCATTTACATATGAGATTGGTTAACACAAAATTAAGAATCCATAGGAATATTTTCATTAATAAACCTGTAATATCCCAAATTTTCGGGAATTTTATCATTTAAGTTAGGGACTTAGTTTGGGAAAAATATTGTTTGGGGCCTAATAGCCAAAACTTTGAAACTTGAGGGACTTCAAAGAGGAAAGATTTTGGATAAGGATCCACTATTTTGTTTCCTTCTTTCTTCTTCCTCACCTGCGTGCCTGCTCTTCTTTTTCCTCCCTTGCACCGAGCAACAAGACCCAGGCCCCCGACACACCTCCCCTCTGAAAACCGGTGAGAAAGCTTGGTTTTTGCCTTTCTTTTCTTGTTCAAGAACCAGATTTGGAGCTTAGAAATCTCTCCCCCTACAGGAATTTCCGGATCTACTCTGCTCTGTCCGTCCGTCTGCTGCTCTTGCCGGTTTGTGGGTGCGAATTTCTCTGATTTTTGGGTAAGAAACAGCCACTAATTCCTTTGCTCTTCCTTGAATTGGTTTGGGTTAACTTTGATTTCTCTTGGTTTCTCCAATTTTTGGGTAGATCCCCCTAAATTTTCTGCACTTCCTGCCGGCTCCTCCCCAAACTGCAACTTCGGTTTTGCTTGCTAAATTCTGGTAAGTGGCAGCTCCATTTAAGTCCCAAATTACCCATTAGTTGTTGGAAATTTGTCTGTTAAATTGTTGCCCTATGCTGTCCGAAAATCTGTTGAAAAATGGGAATGAATTTCGGTAGTAATTAGAGCATAATTAAGCTTAATTCATGTGTAAATTGCTTGAGTTGGCTGTTGTGATTTTGGAGAAAAATCTTGTGAATTAGCCATTGTTTTGCCAATTTATGGAAGTGCAGTTACTGTTCATAACGTGATCACTGTTTATGAGTACTGTTCACGCATTAATGGCCAACAATAGAAGAGTTTAAATGTGTAGTTATATTGAGAATAAAATTGAGATGTTTGGTCATATAGTTGAATTTCGTGTGAAACTTATTGGTTAGGAAATTTGCAAGGTTGTGCTAAAAATTCTAGCAAAGTCTGAATGTATTTATTTGGAATATTAGGTGCTGTTATGGCTGTAATATCCCAAATTTTCGGGAATTCTAGCATTTAAGTTAAGGACCATTGTATGAGAAAATGTTAATGTGGGGCTTATTAGCTAAAATGTCCAAAGTTAAGGGACTTAAAGAGGGAAAATAATTTGGATAAGGATGGCTTCTTTTCTTTTCTCTTTTTTCTTCTTTCTTTTCTTCCCAGCCTTGCCCGATTCTGCTCTTCTTCTTCTTTCTTTCCGCTGCAGCCGAACAAAAGAAGCCCAGCCGCCGGTGACATTTTCTTGAGGAAAACCGGTGAGAAAGCTTGGATTTCTCCTCCTTTTCTTGTTCTTGAACCCAATAATCTCCCTTCCCTGCTGGAAAATCCGGATCTGCTTTGTTCTTCCTTCCTCACCGCCGGCTGCTCCTGCTTTGTGGGGGCGAATTGCTTTGATTTTCTGGTAAGAACAGCCATGGGTCTCCTCCTTTTAGCCTTAAACTAACTTGGGTTACTCTAATTTGTGCTTTTGGTTCTTGAATTTTGGTAGCTCGTGAGCTTACTCCCCAAATTGCCGCCGGCTTTTCCCCAACCTGCAGTCCGGTTTTTGGCTGGAAATTATGGTATGTGACAGCCCTTTTAAGGCTTAAATTATTCATTTAGTTTGCTGGCTGTGTATGTCCGAATTTTGCTAGAAAAATGGGGAAGAATTTGATAGTAATTAGACCATGATTTAACTTAATTCAAGTGGGATTTATGTAATTGAGTGTTAATTGATTGCCGTGTATTTTTGGAGAAAATCTCGTGAATTAGCTTAGTGTTTTGGCCAATTTTTGGAAGTGCAGTTACTGTTCACGTCGGGGTTACTGTTCACACACCGAGGGTCAACAATTAACGGGGATTTAAATGATTAGTTTGTGATATAAGAATGAATTTGGAGATATCTGATTATGTGGAGACTAATAGAAATAGTATCGTGATTAGGAATAATCCTAATGATGATTTCAGTTTGAATTTGTGATAGTACGGAATTAATTCGTGGATATTTTGATTAGGTTCCCAATCGTTCTGTCAGTTAGCACTGTGATTGAATTTTCGGTTTTATGCGAGTGAGGTAAGTAAATTTATGATAATGCCCGTACTGTTTTTAAAAGCATGTTTTGATTTGTTTTTGAAGTGGTGGCAGGACTAAACCCGTTTTACACAAATATGATTGATTTGAAGTGGAATTTTTATGCTTTTCATTAAATTGAGCATGCCTACTTAGAATTTAATTGATTGTCCTGATGATCTGAAAGTGATTGGTGAATTATGTTTTTCTGTTAACTTCAGCTTGTTTTGTCTCCAATGTGGTCATGTTTCTGTAATCCTGCTAGTGGGGGTTAAACGCTAGCACATGTCGGCACATGTCGATATGTTATTGATGATCCTGCTAGTGAGGGTTAAACGCTAGCACATGTCGGCACATGTCGTTATGTCATTGATAGAACCGGTTCGTTTCTGTAACCCTGCTAGTGGGGGTTATACACTAGTAATTTCTGTTGCCTACCAGTGGGAGGTTTATAACACTGGCCGTGACCTATAGAGGAGACGTCTATTTTGTTCTCGTACTGTATCGTTTTTTCGTGATTGTACTTGTTGGCATGCTATAAGTTTAATAAGGGGCACTCCATATTTACTTACTGAGTTTATCTCATAGTTTTCCTTGTCCACCATTTCAGGAAGTGAAACCGAGGACGGGAAACCACAGGAAGTGACGAGTTAGAAGGCTAGCCATTTCAAGTTTGATATAGATTGTCGATAGAAATCATGATCTTGTAAACTGGAGTGTATTTGGAGATTTTACGATATCAGAGTAAATTTTAAAGATTTGACCTTCAGATTTGGTGGTATTAGATATGAATTTGATTAAGTTCCGAGCCTTGTGCATTTGTGGGACCCGTCTCACGAGTGCACAGCATCTGCCACGTCTCCGGATTTGGGTTCTGGGGCGTGACAGATTTAGTGGTATCAGAGCTTGGGTTAAATTAGATATCTAAAGATAAAGTGGTATCAGAGTTTAGTTTAAATTAAGAGCTTTTGATTAAATTAAGCACCTCCAGATTGAGTGGCATCAGAGCAGATTGAGTGGTATTGGAGTTTAGATTTAATTAAATACCTAGGTTTAATTGAATACCTAGGATTTGTTTTGGACTTAGCTAGCCAGTGGATTTTAGAACCGTGGTGAGATGAGTGATGGGGTTATATAAGGGACAATTTCGATTCATGTTGCCTAAATTTCCTAATCCATTTTGATGAGATGGTAATCTGATTGTTCTCGTTTCCTACCTTCATACCCTGTGTAGATTCGTGAAATTAATCTTGGCCGCCATGTTCTTAAGACCTTGTTTTGAAACTTGGTCATTTTTTGATAGTCTGCACTTGTTTAGACTTGTTACGTGAATAGAATTTTTGTATGCTCTTTTGTTGCAATTGTAAAATCTGGGGAGTTGCAGAGATTTTTGTTATTGATCCTGTTGATCTCTACAACATAGCTGGTTGAGAAATTTGCTCTGTTTGTCATGACTAGTGGAAGATGGGCAACCCTCTACTTTGTAAAAGATTCAAGGCTATTTTAGCAATTGTTGTGTGTTTTCTAGATGCGTTTTAGGAGCTGGATGAGTTGGTAATTCCGTTGCTCCTTATCTTTCTGAAAGTCTTATAGTGGAATCTCACTTTTTCCACTTGGAACTTCATGGTCTGTTCATGTGGCTCATTTTTTTTTATATTGGTTAATCAAAAACAGTGATCATTCAATTGAAATTGCCATATTTTTGTGAAGATTGGCAAGTTGTCGTAAAGTTAAACTCTCTATCGTTGCTAATCTCTACATTCTTAATACTTGGAAATTGCTTGAAACTCTTGAAATCCGTCTTGAATCTTTCTTGATATTGCTTTGTACTTGTTCGTGAAACTGAAATCCAGAAATGGATAATGATTATTGAAATCCTCATTATCTTGATTTTTGCCTAAAATTAATTCTTGCACTGTTCTTGGAATCTATTTTGAATTGTTCTTGAAAACCATTCTTGTCCTGATTCTTGCTCTTGTTCAAATTCTGTATATTGTTCTTGCTCAAATCCTGCATATTCTGCTAGTTCTTGTTTTTGTATACCGGTTGATCTTCTGGATTCCTGATTTTTGTTCATATGGACACCTCTTTAGGAGGGGTGATGATTATTAGAAAATACCTATATGAGGCATCTTCATTCTTGTTTCTTGCAAGTGTTAGTCTTTGTATTCTTGATGTCCTAGCTTTGACTTGACTCTAGGATGTCTAGAATGACTTGATTGTAAATCTGCTTAACCTTCATGAGCTACGAGGTGAAGGGGTAGTCTTTGAAGTACTTGATACCCTAGAGTTGTGTTCCAAGAGAAATGGTTCTTTTATCTGGCTGCTTTGATTTTGTTTGTCCTTTTAATTAGAAGACAATAAGTGTCCTAATCCCCACTATTGATTATTTTGTTAATTAATTCTAGTACTTGAGGTGCTAGATCTTGACATCATGTATCTGCTCTTGAATCCTTGTTCTCATTGTCATTATTGAAATCTCTTTTGTGGGCCTAGTCCTTGAATTCTATTGGTTGTTTCTCAATTTTGACTGCTTGGTTAAATTTGATTTTAATTCTTGGTGAATGCTGTTTTGTTGCTGAAATTTTTGAGGCATTCTACCTTGCACTCTTATGTTCCAGTATCCTTCCAAGCATTCATATTTTCCATTGATTTTATTCTGTTGCAATTCTTGAAATTCACATGTCATTTGATGGGTCTAGCTTTTAACTTTTGTTAATTGCTAAAATCTGCCTCTTGATTCCAGTGCTTTGTTAAACATGATCTTGGTTTTGGTTAACCTTGTTTTGTGACAGAATTTATAAGGCATCCATGCACTTGTTCATTTATTCATGATCCATATATCCATTGGATGCTTATTCGTCTTTGATAGAGTTCAAAATTTTGTTGTACTCATCTTTAAATCCATGCCATTCTTTGTTAACTCGTCTTGTGATGGGTTCAAAGCGTAACCCCACAATTGTTCTTTTGTGGCTTTGGCAGGATTTAGTTTATTCCTTGTGCTTCCCATATCACCCCAGCCTCTAGTAGCTTATTGATGGCAAATCTTGTTGAGTGATCAACGTTTTGCTTTTTAAGATTAGCTGTGGTTTGATATCAGAGTGGCACAGCGGAAGTGTAGTAGGCCATGTTCTGTTTATAAAGAGTTGGTGAGGCATTTGTCTTGTCTTGGATTGTGTCAAGCCATTCACCACTTGAGACGACCCTAGATTTGAGTTTTGGGGACAAAACTCCTTTTTAGGAGGGTGAATGTAATATCCCAAATTTTCGGGAATTCTAGCATTTAAGTTAAGGACCATTGTGTGAGAAAATGTTAATGTGGGGCTTAGTAGCTAAAATGTCCAAAGTTGAGGGACTTAAAGAGGGAAAATAATTTGGATAAGGATGGCTTCTTTTCTTTTCTCCTTTTTCTTCTTTCTTTTCTTCCCAGCCTTGCCCGATTCTGCTCTTCTTCTTCTTTCTTTCCGCTGTAGCCGAACAAAAGAAGCCCAGCCTTTAGCAAATGTTGTGTGTTTTCTAAATGCGTTTTAAGGGCTGGATAAATTGGTAATTTCGCTGTTCATTATCTTTCTGAAAGTCTTATAGTGAAGTTTCACTTTTTCCATTTGGAGCTTCATGGTATTTTCATGTGGCTCATTTTTCTATATTGGTTAATCAAAAAGTGATCAATTCAATTGAAATTGCCATGTTTTTGTGAAGATTGGGAAGCTGTCATAAAGTTAAACTTTCTATTGTTGCTAATCTCTACATTCTTGGTACCTGGAATTGCTTGAAACTCTTGAAATCCATCTTGAATCTTTCTTGAGATTGCTTTGTACTTGTTCTTGAAACTGAAATCCAAAGGAAATGGATAATGATTATTGAAATCCTCATTATCTTGATACTTGTTTGAAATTAATTCTTGCACTGTTCTTGGAATCTTATCTTGAACCTTGCATGGAGTAAAGTCGTGTTAGCATCCTTGTCTTGAAAATCAATTGATATTTGGTTTTTGGACTCTATTTTGAATTGTCCTTGAAAACCATTTCTTGTCCTGACCCTAGCTCTTGCTTAAATTCTGTATACTGCTCTTGCTCAAATCCTGCATATTCTGCTAGTTCTTATTTTAGTATACCTGTTGATCTTCTTGATTTTTGATTTTGTTCACATGGATACCTCTTTAGGGGGGGTGATGATTATTAGAAAATACCTATATGAGGCATCCTAATTCTTGTCTCTTGCAAGTGTTAATCTTTGTATCCTTGATGTTTTAGCCTTGACTTGACTCTAGGATGTCTAGGATGACTTGATTGTAAATCTGCTTAGCCTCCATGGGCTACAAGGTGAAGGGGTAGTCTTTGAAGTACCTGATGCCCTAGAGTTTTGTTCCAAGAGAAATGGTTCTTTTATCTGGCTGCTTTGATTTTTGTTTGCCCTTTTAATTAGAAGACAGTAATTTTCTAAGTATCTTGATGCCTACTATTAATTATTCTGTTAATTAATTCGTGTTACTTGGGGTGCTAGATCTTGACATCCTGGTTATATCTGCTCTTGAATCCATGTTCTGGTTGTCATTATTGAAATCTCTTTTGTGGGCCTAATCCTAGAATTCTATTGCTTGTTTCATGGTTAACTCTTGTCTCTCAATTTTGACCGCTTGGTTAAATTTGATCTTGATTCTTGGTGAACGCCGTTTTGCTGCTGAATTTTTTGAGGCATTCTACCTTGCACTCTTATGTTCCAGTATTCTTGCAAGCATTCATATTTTCCACTGATTTCATTCTGATGCTATTCTAGAAATTTCACATGTCATTTGATGGGTTTAGCTTTTAACTCTTGTTAATTGCTAAAATTTGTCTCTTAATTCCAGTTGTTTTGTTAAACATGATCTTACTTATTGGTTAACCTTGTTGTGGTAGAATTTATAAGGCATCCATGCACTCGTTCATTCATTCATTCATGATTCGTACATCCATTGGATGCTTATCCGTCTTTGATAGAGTTCAAAGTTTTGTTGTACTCGTCTTTAAATCCATGCCATTCTTTCCCAACTCATCTTTGTGTTAGGCTCATAGCGTAACCCCGCAATTGTTCTTTTGTGGCTTTGGCAGGATTTATTTCTATTCCTTGTGCTTCCCATATCACCCCGACCTTTAATAGCTTATTTCATGGTAAATCTTGTTAAGTAGTTACTGTTCTGCTTTTATGATCAGTTGGGGTTTGATATCAAGGTGGCGCAGTGGAAGCGTAGTAGGCTATGTTCGGTTCATAAAGAATTGGTGAGGCATTTTTTTTGCCTTGGATTGTGTGAAGCCATTCACCACTCGAAATGATCCTCAATTTGAGTTTTGGGGACAAAACTCCTTTTTAGGAGGGGTGAATGTAATATCTCAAATTTTCGAGAATTTTATCATTTAAGTTAGGGACTTATATTGGGAAAAATATTGTTTGGGGCCTAATAGCCAAAATTTTGAAACTTGAGGGACTTAAAAGAGGAAAGATTTTGGATAAGGATACACTATTTTTTTCCTTCTTTCTTCTTCCTCACCCGCGTGCCTGCTCTTCTTTTTCCTCCCCTGCACCGAGCAACAAGACCTAGGCCCCCGACGCACCTCCCCTCTGAAAACCGATGAGAAAGCTTGGTTTTTGCCTTTCTTTTCTTGTTCAAGAACCAGATTTGGAGCTTAGAAATCTCTCCCCCTGCAAGAATTTCTGGATCTGCTCTGCTCTGTCCGTCCATCTATTGCTCTTGCTGGTTTGTGGGTGCGAATTTCTCTGATTTTTGGGTGAGTAACAGCCACTAATTCCTTTGTTCTTCCTTGAATTGGCTTGGGTTAACTTTGATTTCTCTTGGTTTCTCCAATTTTTGGGTAGATCCCCCTGAATTTTCTGCACTTCCCGCCAGCTCCTCCCCAAACTGCAGCTTCGGTTTTGCTTGCTAAATTCTAGTAAGTGGCAACTCCATTTAAGTCCCAAATTACCCATTAGTTGCTGGAAATTTGTCTGTTAAATTGCTGCCTTATGTTGTCCAAAAATCTATTGAAAAATGGGGATGAATTTCGGTAGTAATTAGAGCATAATTAAGCTTAATTCATGTGTAAATTGCTTGAGTTGGCTGTTGTGATTTTGGAGAAAAATCTCGTGAATTAGCCATTGTTTTACCAATTTATGGAAGTGCAGTAACTGTTCATGGCGTGATCACTGTTCATGGGTACTGTTCACGCACTAATGGCCAACAATAGGAGGGTTTAAATGTGTAGTTATATTGAGAATAAAATTGAGATGTTTGGTCATATGGTTGAATTTCGTGTGAAGCTCATTGGTTAGGAAATTTGCAAGGTTGTGCTAAAAATTCTAGCAAAGTCTGAATGTATTTGTTTGGAATATTAGGTGCTGTTATGGCTTAAAGCATTGGGATTGTGTCTTCGGTATTATGAATTTGAGGTAAGTAAATTATGGTAATGCCCTCTGATTTTAAAGCACATTTTAGCTTGTTTTTGAAGTGGTGGCAGAACTAAACCCGTTTTACACAAGTATGATCGATTTGAAATAAGATTATTATTCTTTTTATTGATTTGAGTATGCTTACTTGGAATTTACTTAACTACCCTGATAAACTGAGAATTTTGTAAATTCTGATTTTTTTCTGTTAAATCCATGTCCACATGGAAATTTTTCAGTTTATTTCTGGAATTTGAGATTGATTGTGAATTACGGATTTTACTGTAAATCTTGCCTGTTTTGTCTCTGATATGGTCATGTTATTCGTGTGCCCACTAGTGGGAGGTTTATAAACACTAGCACATGTCGACATGTTACTGATAGAACAGGTTCGTTTCTGTTATATTGTTATCCTGCTAGTGGGATTATATACTAGTAAATCGTGTGCCTGTCAGTGGGAGGTTTATAACACTGGCCATGACCTATAGAAGAGATGTCTATTTCGTTTCCTACTTGTACTTGTTTTTTGTGATTGTACTAGTTGGCATGCTATAAGTTTAATTAAGGGCTATCCATATTTATTTACTGAATTATCTCATAGTTTTTCCTTGTCCACCATTTCAGGAAGCAAAGTCAAGGACAGGGAAAACCGAGGGGAGTGATGAGTTAGAAGGCTAGGCATCTTGTAAATTGAACATAGATTTTATATATAAATCATGATCTTGTAAACTAGACTTTATTTGGAGATTTTAAGATATTAGAGCAAAATTTTAAAAATTTTATCTTCAGATTTTGGTGGTATTAAATTGTGGTATGATAAGTTCCGAGCCTTGTGCATTCGTGAGACTTGTTCACGAGTGCACGGCGTCTACCACGTCCTCGGATTTGGATTCTGGGCCGTGACAAAACCCTAACTTTTCCTTTGCAAAACAGATTATTCTCTTTACTCCATCCCTAATATCAGATTCTTAACCCTTTCTTCCTGTTGAATCTAGATCATGAATGCACCAAGTTATGAAGTTCATAGCAACATAAGTCTATCATATGCAGTTTCATGACCAAATATCAAACATGATTTGAGTTTTTGTAATGAATCCAAAACTTGAGTTCTGCAAGGAACCCAAAAACTAGGTTCTTCGAGGAACCTAGATCTAGATTCCTCGCGGAACCTTGAGGAACCCATAAAGATGAAGAGCATGGTGGAGGGGATGCTGAAGTTGATGAGGAGGATGGTGACGATAAACGGTGACATGATGATGCTTGAGGATGCGGATTAGGTGAGGACGAGGATAAGAATGTGGAGAAAGAAGAAGACGAAGAAATTAAAGTTAATTATGTTTAAATTTGTTCAATTATTAATTAAAAAGGAAAATTTTTAATTTGTACACGTGGTCTAAAATTTTTAGATGAAATGCTTGCACGAATTTATAATTTTATCCATATAATTCTCATGTCATTTATAACATTAGTTATTTAAAAAATAATTAAGTAATTTCGTTAATTAATGTGATAGCTTAGCAAAAAATTAACGAATGAACCAAAAAGATGTCGGATTTTAAATTTTAAGAACCATAAAAGGGTTTTTCTCTGTACAGGGACCAAAAAGGGGCTTTTATCAATAGTAAAGGGACCAAAAAGGGTTTCAACCTATTAAGATCAATCATATTAGAATTTGATCCGTTGTAGAGATAAGTTAATATTTGTATCTTGTTTTGCCTTAGAGCCATATTGTCACGCCCCATAACCTAAATCCGGGGATGTGGCAGACGCCGTGCACTCGTGAAAGGGTCCCACAAATGCACAAGACTCGGAACTTATCCAATTCACATCTGACAATCCAATAACTTTAATAAGATATTTCAAAATAATTCTATCTCCAACATGACTTAAGCTCAAAATCTCAAGGTCAAATCTCTTGTAAACTAACAATCCATTAAATGAATTTATAAAATCTCCAATTAAAATCTAGCTTACAAGATGATGATCTATATTTAAAATCTATCTTCAATTTACAAGATGACTAGCCTTCTAACTTGTCACTCCCCTCGTTTTTCCTCGTCCTTGACTTCATTTCCTGAAATGGTGGACAAGGAAAAACTATGAGATAACTTAGTAAGTAAATATGGATAGCCCTTAATTAAACTTATAGCATGCCAACAAGTATGATCACGAAAAACGGATATAGTACGAGAATAAAATAGACGTCTCCTCTATAGGTCATGCCTAGCGTTTATAAACCTCCCATTGGCGGGCACACGATTTACTAGTGTATAATCCCATTAGCAGGATAACAGAAATGAACCGGTTCTATCAGTAACATGTCGACATGTGCTAGCGTTTATAAACCTCCCACTAGCGGGCACACGAATAACATGACCATATCGGAGACAAAACAAACAGAAGTTAACAAGAAAATCATAATTCACTAATCACTTTCAGATCATCAGGACAATCAATTAAATTTCAAGTAGGCATACTCAATTCAATGAAAAGCATAAAAATTTCACTTTAAATTAGTCATGCTCGTGTAAAACGGGTTTAGTCCCGCCACCATTTCGAAACCATCAAAAATTTGCTTTTAAAAGCTTTACCTTAAATCCAAGGCATTACCATAAGTTACTTACCTCAAATCCGGAACTCAAGCCAAGTACTCGGGTGACAGAACACTCAAGAACCTAATCAAAATACCCCATAATTAATACCGTACTATCACAAATTCAAAGTGAAAACTTCATTAGGATCACCCCTAATCATGATGCTAGTTCTATTAGTCTCCATATGACCAGACATCTCCAAATTTGTTCTTATATTACAAACTAAACATTTAATCCCCGTTAATTGTTAGCCATTAGTTCGTGAACAGTACCCATGAATAGTACCCGTGAATAGTGATCATGCAGTGAACAATAACTGCAACTTCCAAAAATTGGCAAAACCATAGTTAATCTCATGGGATTTTTCTCCAAAATCTCATAGCAATCAATTAACACTTAATCACATAATTTCTACTTGAATCAATGCTTAAATTTTGTCCTAAAGCTACCGGAATTATCCCCTAATTAATGCAGAATTTCGGACAGCACAAGCAGCAATTTAAATGGATAATTTTAGGCTTAAAGGGCTGTCACATACCAGAATTTTCCCAGCAAAACTGGAGTTGTGGCTTGGGGAGACCGGCGGGAAGTGCAGGGAAGCTCACGGAATTAACCCAAAATTGAAGAAATAAGAGGAACTTAGAGTAACCCAAGCCAATTCAAGGAAAAATAGAGAATTTAATGGTTCTTCTTACCAAAAAATTTGGAAAATCCACAGCCCCACACACGGCAGAGCAGTGGACGGAAGAAGCAGAGGAGGGCAGATCCGGAAGCTTTCCTGCAGGGGGAAAATTTCAAGGCTCCAAATCTTGTTCTTGAACAAGAAAAGAAGGATAAAACCAAGCTCTCTCACTAGTTTTTTTCAAGTGGAGGTGTGGGTCGGTGCTTGGCCTTTGTTCGGTGCAGGGAGAAGAAAAAGAAGAGCAGATGCGCGTGTGAGAAAGAAGAAAGAAGGAAAAAAAATAGTTGATCCTTATCCAAATCCTTTTCTCTTTTAAGTCCCTCAAGTTTCAAATTTTGGTTATTAAGTCCCAGAATAATATTTCCTCACAATCAAGTCCTTAACTAAGTGCTAAAATATCACAAAATTTTGGGATATTACACATATATCTATTCTCCTTTTGTCAAGTCTATAAATGGGAGGTTTTAGCATACAGTTCTTTCATTACCTTCGAGGGCTTCAACCATTGACAAAAAATTACTCCCACTTCCCTTGTTGGGGTTAGCTCAAGTGATAATTAAGGGTGATGACAATTATATTGAAAATATAGGTTTAAATTACTATTATTTTTTAGTATATCGAATGTATAAAAAAATAAGGTTAAACCCCCATTTTGGTCCCTCAACTATCGTACGGGCTCCTGACTTAGTCCCTCAACTCAAAAAATCCCTGATTTGGTCCCTACTGTTTACCATTTTGACCCTGATTTAGTCCCTCCGTTAAAAATCCGTTAAAAATTCTAGTGACGTGTCCTTGATTAACAAAAGCATGATGACATGTCAAAAATAGAGTGACACCTCAAACGAACACTTGGAAAAAAAAGATGACGTGGCAGTATGATGTTCCATTTTGCCCCAAAACCAAACAAGGAAAAAAAGTGGGCCCCACCTCCTGCAAAGCCTGAACCCTT